TTTTCTTTTTTCAATCTGTTAAAGTCTTGGTAGATGTATAGGGAAAATCAGAAACTCTTTGAAATGTGCTACTGTGATTTCCAGAATTTACTTGTTTTCAGTAGTTATTCTAAACCAATAACTTCTGTTTACTTTCCTCCCTTTTTAGCTTGCAAAACTAATGTCAGAATTAGAAAGCTTTCCTGGCTCCTTCCCTGGAAGGCGTTCCCTGCCAGGCTCCAGTTCAGTAAGTACAAATCCTTGTTTGTATGGTACTGTTTTGGGCAGGTCTGATTTTAAATGGGCAGGTCTGATTTTAAAGTCCAATTTTGTTATTTCATGTGGTCTTGTAGACAGACTTAGAGGTGATAGAGGAAAGCTTTTGACAGATCTCTGAGACCTCTTCCTTGCACTCTGGGCCAGGGGTGCCCCCTGTCCCCTGATGCCGAGCTCCTGTGGGGCTCAAACCCCACCCCGCTCTGTTTTCCTTGGCCACCCACGTGGCAGGTGGGGTCCTAGTTCCTGGACCAGAGATCGAACCCGCGCCCCCTGCAGTGGAAGCACGGAGTCTCTACCACTGGACCTCCAGGGAAGTTCCTCAAACCTCTTTTGATTGGTTGTTTCTTTTCCTCCCACCCAAGTAAACCTAAGACCCTCAGGGGTAGGAAATAAAGATCGAAAATGTTTTTTTCTGTATCCCCAGCATTGGCAGATTCCTCCTACATGGTAATGGATGTTTTTAAAATCTGAGAATGAAAAAAAAGAAAGAAAAAACAATTTGTTAACCAAGTCATGGCCTAATATATGTGATTATATTCTGAGCAAACTAAGCTGGTGCAACTCAGGGGAATCTGGTGTGTCTGTGGTACAAAAGGAAAGATTTCCTTTCCCGCCTCTCCGTGAGCAGGAATAGAACAAGGAAAAGCATACATACATTTCTCTCTTGGGCAGTATAGGAACAGTGAATATGTTTCAGGGCTCAAGAGATGTTGTAGAAAAGGTTTTTTTTTGGAGAATGAGATTCTTTCTTACATCTTTATTGAGTAAAGCATAAATAGATCATCCCTCAGTTTGAGAGAAACCAGGTTTGCTATTAACAAAAGCCAAATTACAATGGCTGTATCATTTCTGGGCTCATTTTCCATGCATTACAGAGAGGATGAAGGAATCGGAAAGTGGAGTGCTCCTTTTACTTAAAGGACAGCCTGGTTCAGGAGAAGGTGCCACTTCTCATTCTGGAATAAACGGGTCCAATCCTCTGTGTTTTGTTCAGCGTCCAAAGACACCCCGAAGGCGCACATTCCCAGGTGTCTCCTGCAGGAGAAACCCTGAGCGGAGAGCTCGTCCTCTCACCAGGTCGAGGTCTCGGGTCCTTGGGTCGCACAGTGCCCCGCCCACGGAGGATGAGGAGGAGGACGAGGAGGACGAGGATAAGTACATGTTGGTGAGAAAGAGGAAGCCCGTGGCTGGCTTCGTGAATGTGAGTTCCCCACTTTTATGCTTTCTCTTCTGTTTGTCATGTTCTGTGGGCCCAGGATCATGGACACAGCATGGGAGCACACACCCCCTCAACACCAATGATCCATATGAAATGTTCGTCTCAAACACTCCAGAACGGTTAAAGTCACATCAGCTTTTTTTTTTTTTTTTTTTTTTTTTTTTTTTTGCGGTACGCGGGCCTCTCACTGTTGTGGCCTCTCCCATTGCGGAGCACAGGCTCCAGATGCGCAGGCCTAGCGGCCATGGCTCACAGGCCCAGCCGCTCCGTGGCATGTGGGATCTTCCTGGACCGGGGCATGAACCTGCGTCCCCTGCATCGGCAGGCGGACTCTCAACCCCTGCGCCACCAGGGAAGCCCCACATCAGCTTATTTTGATGGTTCTTGCTAGCAGGCAAGAGGATCAAAATTATCTTGGGCTTTTCTTAATTGTAGGAGTCATTTCCATGATGTTGTCCCATGATTCTTAGTAAACTTAGGATTCTCCCCTTCTCCGTAAGCTCTAAGAATGATTTCCAGGTTGAATTCTCTGAAGAAATGACAAAGCGAGTATCTTGAGATTCAGAGCTGGCGAGAGCCAGGAAGGCCACTCTGTTCCATGTTTCTCATTATGCAGGAAGACGACATGCCCCGAAGTCGTCGCCCCGGATCCATGTCCCTTCCCCATATAATTCGCCCAGTGGACGAAATCACGGAGGAAGAATTGGACAACATCTGCAGCAACTCTCGAGAAAAGATCTATAACCGTTCATTGGTCAGAGCCTCTAAATGATGTCTGGAAATGTACACGTCTGTGAGGGAGACATTTTGCTAATGTTCTGACAGTCTTAGCGTATGGGATGTGTGCCTGTGTGTTTTTTTCATGTAAGAAAAGAGTTTTGTAGCATCCTTGGGATTCAGCTTTCTTAGTAAGTTTGCAGTAGTAGTAGTTGCTTAGTAAGTCTTCAGTAGCATTAAATCTTTTCTCTTAATTTAGAAATTGATTCATTCAAGCTAAGTATCTATTAACGTGTGCCTGCATAGATAGGTGTTGGCGATGTGGTGGTGTGCTAAAGATAAACAGATCTTTTCTTTTTTTTTTTTCTTTTTGCGGTACACGGGCCTCTCACTGTTGTGGCCTCTCCCATTGCGGAGCACAGGCTCCAGACGCGCAGGCTCAGCGGCCATGGCTCACGGGCCCAGCCGCTCCGCGGCATGTGGGATCTTCCTGGACCGGGGCACGAACCCGCGTCCCCTGCATCGGCAGGCGGACTCTCAACCACTGCGCCACAAGGGAAGCCCAAACAGATCTTTTCTTGATGTAGTTTTGATAACATAAGGTATTGCGCCTGCCAGTTCAATGAAATCACCATGCTTGAGATACTTTTCATGTCCTTTTGTATACATGTGTGTATAGATGTGAACTAGGATTCAAAGAGAAAATATGAGACTCTACCCACAAAGAAGGACATTCTTTTTTTTTTTTTCTTTAAATTTTTTTTTGTAGTCAAATTCATCTTTTTTTTTGGCTGTGCGGCTTGCCCCCCGCAGTGAAAGCGTGGAGTCCTAACCACTGGACTGCTAGGGAATTCCCAAAGAAGGACATTCTTTAAGTATTTTGTCTACAGAAAGCAGTGTTTTTGTTTTTGGTTCTTATTTGCTTATTATTTGCAGGGATCGACTTGTCATCAGTGCCGCCAGAAAACTATGGACACCAAGACAAACTGCAGAAACCCAGAGTGCTGGGGTGTTCGAGGCCAGTTCTGCGGGCCCTGCCTTCGAAACCGTTACGGTGAAGAAGTCAGGGATGCTCTGCTAGACCCAGTACGTGCCTCGAAGGGGTGGTCCTGTGGGCTCGAGAGTCTGCCGTGAGCTGATAGGGCTAGAGAGAGATTGAGCCCTTAGTGTCGTGGGACATTCATTTCGGGGAAGGCAGATGCATTCAGAGTGTTGGTGCTGGATAGCTGTGAGCCCTTCTGGAGTGCTCCCGACCCGGCCATTCGGGGAAGTCCGTTCTTCACTTAGCCCTCCTAGTGGCTGTGGAACTTTTTCCGTGGGATTTCCTAAGGGAACGTGATGCATGACTAACTGATGTTAACCATGTTACGAGTTTTTTAATAATTAAAAAGATATGAATGCAATTGATCATGCCCATCTTAAAGGTTAATAAACAGGAGGAGATAAGTAAGCGGCGGCGTGAGGTTTAACTTAATGGTGCCTTTTCATGCTTATTCAGAGCTGGCACTGCCCACCGTGTCGTGGGATCTGCAACTGCAGCTTCTGTCGGCAGAGAGACGGGCGGTGTGCAACTGGGGTGCTCGTGTACTTAGCCAAGTACCACGGCTTCGGGAACGTGCATGCTTACTTGAAAAGGTAGGGCTGGTTTTTCCCTCTTCCACACCCAAATCTGACATTCATTTTTGTATCTTAATAAAAAGACGGTAGAAGTCAGAAGTGTGGTCTTATGGAGGGCAGAAGGGTGCAGGTATTAAGTAGAAAGGGGCACACGGGGGGTCGGGGAGCGTTGGAAACATTTTTTATCTTCATCTGGGTGGTGGTGACCCTCGTGGGCATGCGTGCGTAAAATTCAAGCTGTACGCTTAAGATGTGTTATAACTCGGTAGAAACGTTTAAAAGAGTGAATTAGGCTCTCAGAAGATTATTATTTTTTTAACTTTTTAAAAAATAGAAGTATAGTTGATTTACAATGTTGTGTTTCAGGTGTACAGCAAAGTGATTCAGTTATATATATATATTTTTTTTTTCATATTCTTTTCCATTATGGTTTATTACAAGGTACTGAGTTTACTTCCCTGTGCTATACAGTAGGACCTTGTTGGTTATCTATTGTATATATAGTAGTTTGTATCTGTTAATCCCAGACTTCTGATTTATCATCCCCTCAACTCCCTTCCCCTTTGGTAACCATAAGTTTGTTTTCTATGTCTGTCAGTCTGTTTTTGTTTTGTAAATAAGTTTTCATTTGTATCATATTTTAGATTATGCGTATAAGTGATATCATATGGTATTTGTCTTTCTCTTATTTCACTTAGTATGATAATCTCCAGGTCCATCCCTGTTGGTGCAAATGGCATTATTTCATTCTTTTTATGGCTGAGTAATATTCCATTGTATATATGTACCACATCTTCTTTATCCATTCCTCTGTCGATGGACACTTAAGTTGCTCCTATGTCTTGGCTGTTGCAAATAGTGCTGCTATCAACATTGGGGTGCGTGTGTCTCTTGGAATTAGTTTTCAGAAGAGAATTCTTAGGCCGAAAACCATATCCTGACATGTTCCCTCTTCTCTTTCAGTCTAAAACAGGAGTTTGAAATGCAAGCATAATAATTGGAAGATCCACTACCTGCCTTCCACTTCACAAATCTTCCTTGTTTTAAAGTTTTTAATTTTGTCATGTGATTGAAACTCGAGTTTAAGAATTCTGATGATCAGTCTGTCTTATAGGCAAATCAGGTTAACCTCATTAGACATGCACGTGTGTCTGGGCGTCACGGGGGTGTAGTGCCAGCTGTACCCTGCCCTTCTGCAGTTTCTCCTTTGCATTTCCCCCCACCCCTCATCCCATGCCATTCCCCCTCTTATCTCCAGTGGTTCTCTTCCATCGTTTAGTTTCAGAATCCTTTTTAAATGACAATTTTATGAAACCATGTTTGATTTAATTGGTGTTGAAATAGCCCTGTAATCCACCCATAAAACCAAGCACTTAGAAATGCAGTAGTAATGTTAACTAACTACATCTCTCGATTTCCAGAGACTAGCCCTCTAACTTGCTTACGTGAAAACACTGGGTCTGATTTAGTGTTCGCTGACATTTTTAACAGAATCAAGGCACAAAAGTCTTAAAACCATGTGGAAAAATTAGGTGATTGTTGGCAAGTGGAGTATATGACTGTGGAGGCCTCTCAGGAGAATATTCCATGTATTGTGCTTATTATTCAAGTTGTCACAGTTGAGGCTTAGTTGCTGCTGATTTCTTCCACCAAGTGCATCTGGCCCACATGGTCACGACCCAAAGGTTCTCGGGCAGTGCTATGCTTGAAATCATTGTAGAAAAGCCATCCTGGGGAATTGGGACGGGGAGACTTCAGGAGTAGGACGATTTGAATTCATGGAATAAAACTTAAGGATAAGTGTAGTTTGCCAAGTTGATTTCAGTTCGTAATGTAAGGTATTTCAAATAAATTCTTATGTTGCATGGAAAATTGATACTTATACTCAGCTACAATTCTTTGCAGTTTTTACTTTCTTGAAAAAATTATAAGCCAGGCACAGGGTTCACATTCAGGTTTGAAGCACTTTTATAACACTGAGAAGTGCCTTTTTGGAGAAGGGTGACTTTCAACAGTTTGCTAACTTGACATCTCTGTCAGTTTAGTTTCTGGGCAGAGTCCATGTGTCGTCTCTCCCTCCGCCTGTTTCGGCATGAATCACATCGTTCGATAGAGGTAGAATCTGTGTGTTCATTTTGCTTTGCATCTGCATCCCGTAGCTGTGCCTGTGCAGTGTTTGGTGCATAATTGGACCTTGAATCAATAAATGTAAATAGAGCGTTTGATTTGTTATGCTTTTATACAAAGTTTTTTATTTTAATAATAAAACATTTTGTTCTAGCTTGTCTGCTTTTTTAAAAATCTTTGATGCTCAATCTTAACTGCACTGAGTCCTAATTTTTCCCTCCTATTTAAACAAAAGACCATGTCTGCCTTTTCGAGAGTCGTTCCCCCCCCCCTCCCCCAACACACACACACTTTGGCTTAAGTTTCTGACAGTCAAGGGCCAGCTCTTTTGAACAGGGCCGGCTTGGTGATACGCCTGGTAGCTGTGAATCAGAATCAGCTAAGACGTCTACATCACCAGATAGAAAGTACGGGCCCCTGAAGTTTTACAATGTTGTTTTCTTTTCTTTGACCATTTGCCAACCCAAGAACCAACAGCGATTTCACAATACCTGGCTTGCTTTTATCAACCGTTCGGATATTTATTACAGGCACGCTGTGCCTTGAGACCTATTCCAGAATTGAGAGAATCAAAAGACAAAGCATGGTTCAGAAGTTCTCGTACCCGATTCTTTAGACCAGGGTTGGCAAGCTGCATCCTGGGGACCAGATTCTGCTGCAGCCTGTATTCATATGACACATGAACTAAGTACGGTCTTTTACATTTTTAGAGAGTTTTTAAAAAAAGAAAGCATGTGGCATAGTGGCCCACAAAGCCTGAAATGCTTTATGGTAAGTTTGCTGTGTCTTGCTCTAGACTTATCTGAGAAACCACGTTTACACCACATACATTTGGGGAGAAGACCAAGATAAATGAAGTTACACAACTGTAACTGTATTCTATACAACCCCAAAAGAAATTGACATTTCTTTGCATAAACTCGTAGTATCTTAAGAAGCCCAATTATAACCCAACCCTTTTAGGGATGCAATTGGGAGGCTTATATTTTTGGAGTTAATCAAAATTGGTTGTCGTTTGGAACGTTTTTCGTGTTACCATGTTTTAAAATTATGAAGTGGCACTTACGTGGTTTTCATTAAAAATATTGCTAGCAACAGTAGATGCTGAAGCCTTATAACCTGAAAGGATTTACAATCTAGTGGAAGAACTAAGACAAAAACCTAAACGTAACGTTCTGTAGGGATGAAGAGAGGAAAAGCAATTGGCGTTTTCTCACTAGTAGGCATTTTACAGCGTTGATGGGCAGGTCTGCTGCTCTGTCTCAGCCTTGACTGTGGGAACCTCTACTTTCTCCCATGCTCCCCACTGTAAAGCTCCACACACCGTCCTTAGAGTTGAGAGAACTCCAGTTTGGACAATTAGATGTAAAAGTAGTGGGAGGGTATTCATGCTTCAGGAATTGCCTTTATTTCTCCATCCTGGAATCCCAGAGGTAGAGATGGTGTCCACCTTTATCTTCACCTACTAAGAGGTTGAGAAAGGAAATAGAAACTATAATAGACTGTAGTAGTTTCATAGGAGGGGCAAAGGCAGTAGTTAGAAGGTGCTGCAGGAGGGCGTTATTTGTGTTTTATTTTGCTTTCAGAAAAGAAGTGAGAGGGAGCTCCTGATGGCTCAAGGTCGGGTAGACAATTGAGTTATTTGCATGCCAGGGGAATGGATTAGGGTTCAGGGATTTAGAGCATGGCTGCAGAGGATTAGGTTCTGACAAGAAAGTGATAGCAAGTCCTGAGGGGAATAAAAGGTGAGCATATGTGACTTTTGTGTTAATGTTAACTGCACATTTGTGGGGTAGTAGCTCAAGGATGAACTAAATCCAGAGAAGTTGAGAAAAGTGCCCAGTGCCACGTAGCTAAAGTGGGTGAGCTTGACTAGAGTATTCCAGGGAGAAGCTTTTTTTTTTTTGGTAACGAAGCAGAACTAGGAGTCAGAAGCAGAGGAAAGGGCTGTGGATCAGGTTGTGGCAGTGAGAACAAGGGCGTCTTGGGTGCTGGAGCAGTCCCGGCCGAGGTGGCTTATGCGGAAACCCTGTTGGTGGGGAGACAGGAGGGCTGGGAGGGGCTGAGGGCTTCTGTGGTCAGGAGGGGTTGGGGGTAGGGTTCTGTAGGCCCCCCTCATCCCTGGGGGATATGTTCCAAGACCCCCAGTGGATGCCCGAAACCACAGATAGTACCAAACCCTGTGTATACTATACTTTTTCCTATACATACATACCTATGATAAAGTTTAATTTATAAATTAGGCACAGTTAGAGATGAACAAGAACACCTAATAATACAATAGAACAAAGGTGTAATAAAAGGTGAATGTGCACACTCGCTCTTTTATAATATTGTACTGCACTCGTTCTTCTGATGGCCATGTGAGAGGATAAAATGCCCTGCGTGATGAGATGGAGTTAGGTGAATGCCAATGGGCATTGAGACGTAGCGTTAGGCTACTGTTGATCATCTCCTTCCCGTGACTCTGGATGTCAGGAGCAGACGATGTGGATGGCTGGGGATCTCGCAGTGGGACAGAGCAGGGCAGCACAAGACTTCATTGTGCTACTCTGAATGGCACACAGTTTAAAGCTTCTGAATTATTTCTGGAATTTTCCATTTAGTGTTTTTGGACCAAGGTTGACCTTGGGTAACTGAATCCGAGGAAAGCAAGACTGCGGATAAAAAGGGTCTGCTTACTGTGGTAGGTATTGGCTCATCCAACATAGATGTTAGAAACTCGTGAGGCTCTTAACTGCAGGGCATTAAAGTCCTGTGGTTAGAAGACTCCTTAGTTGACTACAAGGTTGAGGAAGGAGAAGGGGGTGAGAACTTCCAAAGGAGGCATTGCTATGAGATAGTGGAGGATGGACTAAACTTGGAATGGCGGGAGGGAGCTGGGGACCTTTGCTTTCGAATGTATAATCTATGGACTCAGCTGCAGAGAAATTGGTGTGCTCCAGGTAGAGACCTTTATTCATAATAATAACCAGGTGATGAAAGACTTGTTTGAGGCAAAAAGCCAGAAACAAAGGAGACATCACTTAAGGTTAAAAGTCACTAACGTATTTGCTTTTTTTTTTTTCAATCTTCCCTGCATTTTGTTTTATATGGTAACATTTGTACTCTATATACAAATTCTATAGCATTAAGAATGTCAAAACATTTAAAATGGCTACATAATAGTATTTGTTTATATGAATGGTCCATATTTCACTTAATTCCCAAAATTGGGGTACCTTGGTGGTTAACAATCTTTTGATATTACGAGTAATGCTATTGTTAGTATTGTTAGGCCCAAATCTTTGGTTAAAATAGATTTCTAGAAAGTGTGGTAACTCTTAGTTACAAGGATGAAGAAAGATAGGAGGCTGAGAATTTTGGAGAGTGTGGGGCTGGTCTGTAGCCCTAGACTGTAGCACAGAGTTCTAGGTGAACTTGGGTGTAGCCCAAGGGTGGGGAGAGAGGAGGAAAGCTACTAGACTAGATACCAAAATGGGAGGCATGGCTCATTGTAGGTGAACTCAACCTGTAGGATTGCAAATGTGCATAGCCTGCCAAATAGGAAACTTTTTTTTTTTTTAACGTAATCCTGTGCCTTGAAGTTTTGTTGGGAGTGTTTATTGTCAGATGAAAGTACCTGCTGATAACACATGATTGCAGGAATG